CTTCATATCCTCTTTATTTTACTTTAAAACTCACAAGTACAATTTGAGCTACATGGTGGATGGTGGGGGCTATCACTGGAATATGGTTCCATAGCAGGGAACAGAACACACCCTTAAAGAAAAATAACTCACCCTCCCCTAGAAGCCATCCATAGCTCCTTACTTTGGGGGTTTTCAGGAGCCCCTTCCCCTCCCTGATAGATGTTGATTGGGTTGATCCTGTGCAAGCCACCTCTGCTGCTCTGAGTTCATGAACACAGAGGTCCTATCATGTCCAGAAGACACTATTTTGCTCTAATGTGTCAGGTGACATGGGCAATACAGCAGGTGATAGCTAGTGTTCAACAGGCTAACCTACCAGGTGAGTGATTCTCTCATGGAGACCCCCACCTGGAAAGGCCGTGGAGTTACTGGCCTTTCCAACTGTGGAAACCAGTTGCTCCTGTCTATAATTTCTTTCATGAGACACTTCTTTTCTTCCCTAAGAACTTTATTTCTTCACTAAGAATAAATAGCTTTGGGTGTTTTCTCACTGCCTGTATGTTTATCTCATGAAAATATCCCATCTCTTGGGCACGTATATCTGTGGACGATCTAGAAGATGACTTTCCATTTAGCTATATAATTTTGACATATAGAATATATCCTGGGACATGCTTCATAACTGGATCTATTTGTTCCACAAGGATGTAGACTCAAAAGAGCCTACCTTGCTCTTTTGCTCAGATTAATTGCACACAATTAGCTCACATTCACCTCAGAGCAAGTTCAAACTAGACTAAAGGATTTTTGTACATAGAGCATAAATTTAAGACCTTATAGCTATGTACAAGGTCAGAACTGTGGATATCCAACCAAGGTTACTAAGAAAAGCATACCAATTCTTCACTTACCAGTCTACTAACAATGGATCTGTGTCTCAAAGTTGTCATTGGGCACTGTGCCCTCAGCAATGTCTGGTCGAGGTTTTGCTCCTATGGCCTTGGACCTTAGAGTTGCCATGGTATGCAGCTCAACTCTAATTGCTTGCTTTAGGAATGTGTTTTTGTACAGGTGTATAGTGGCTGAGTGGTATAAGGTGTTGGATTAAGGAATGTGCTCTTGACCAATGAGAAATAACTCTTGTAATTTGCTTATCACTTCAAGGCTCCTGAAAGAGGTCATATTGTGGAATATAAGAGAAAGAAGTTAGAAGAAGAAGCATGGAGAAATTACAAGTAGGACAGGATTGTTAGAGTAGAAACAGAACAATAAAGAGCACATGAAATAAAGAGCATGACCCTCAGATTGTGTGTGAAGTTACTACAGAAATCTTACTTCTCCTGCTCCCTTTGGAGCCCTGGGTAGGAGCTGAGAGCTGGTCTCATTATCCCTTACCCTAGTGCTCTTCAACCTCGGGCTGTTATGATCTTCTTAACCCTTTCCCTTACTATCCATGAACCTTACAGAAGAGTGTGACATAGATGTCTCATTTGTGGCTGAACAGTCCACCGATGTTTATTCAATGCATTTTGATCATTTGTGAGTTTCAGCATTAACCACTATCCATTTGACATCTTCATCAATGAGGTATGAGAGATACAGTGATCCAATGGGTAGAGAGATAAGAATTTACTATGTCCACTTAACAGAATAATCTGGGCCTGAGAGCTCCCCAACTATGGGTTCTTGGCAAGAATTACAGATGATGTGTATGTTTCCTCCTGTGGAGTGGGCTGGAAATCCAATCAGAAAGTGGTTTTGAACCCCTGTAACATTCATGCCATTATTACATCCTAGAGAATGTCTTGCCACACAGGTCATTATTGTAGTTTGAAGTATTTGCAGTTAAGTAAGACTGTTGATGACTTTTCTTCATACTCCCCCTGAAAAACTACATAGCAGCACCTCCAAGTACAACAAAAACTAACCAACAAGGAGGAAGCATCCTTATCAGTACCATTTTGATTTCTCCATGTCCATGTCTCCATGTCTCAACATGTATACTATCTCAGCAATAGAATCTTTCCATCAAGTTCTAGTAGAAAACTAAGAAAAGTCAGTATTATATAAAAGTTCTCTAAGACATTCTTAACCAATAACTCAAGGGAAGGAATCCCATATCTGGCATTGAACTTATTATTTGGTAACCTCGGGTTCTGGGAGGAGACTGTGTAAGTTAACTCCAACTAACGACTTTTATATGAATATAAATACAGTGTGTGTGTGTGTGTGTGTGTGTGTGTGTGTGTGTGTGTGTGTGTGTGTGTGTGTGTGTTATAGAGAAAGAGAATCTGATGAAGTAGGGAGTTTCCATATGGCTTTTTCAAGCATCCTTCATGTTAGTTATTCCCCTAACTCCTGCTCTACCCTACTACTCCATCTCTTTTCCCATCTAAAGCTCCCTCCCTATTATTCATCCTTTTCCATTCATATCATCTGTAACATCATATTTTTCTCCTCCACTTTCATCTACAACAGAAAATATCTGTCACTTTCATGGAAATAAATAAAATGATTCTAAAATACTGGCCATCAACACACCATCAAGTTAAGAAAAACTCAACGTTATTAGGTCATAAAAAGGTCTTTTATCATTACATTGTAAATATAATTACAAAACCAAAAAATAACATAGCTATGATATATTAGGTAATATGTACTTTGGCCAATAGAATAGACAGAAAATTTAAACTTGAGGAGTTGTTGATGGAAAACTCATAGAAAATCTTGAGTCAAATATGTCCATAGGCTATAAATGGCATTTTGTGAATGATGCCTGAACTATAATTTGATTTTATGGTTCTGGAAAATGTCCAAATGCATTTGCAGGAGCTCTGTGCTGATGATACACTATGATTCAGCAATCCCATGTTATAACAAACACAGTTTCCATTGTTAAAGTCCCTTCAATGTCTCCCAGGACTGTCCTCTGTAGTTAGCTCACCTAACATCTTGCTATTTAACCAACAGCATGTTTGAAGCATCCTAGGTTTGACTCACATTCTCTACATGACTAGTGTTTAACTTTACATTACCGGCCTAAGTGCTTTGAGATTTATTTTTCTTACCTGTTACATGAACAAATAGAGTTTTCTCTGAGATTGCTCTATTATATGAGTCAGTACATACAAGTTGTTTAGAATAGTGTCAAACACATGGTACCACTCCAATAAGTGCTTTGGTATTATTATATTATCATACATTTTAGATAACATAATGTAATGTAGATATCTTATAAAATATGAAATAAACACATAACCAGTTAGGGGAGTTTCAGTGACAATGTCTTTTTGTGCGAACCCAAGGTCTCATACATGCTAGGAAGTTACTCCATTACTGACCTATACCTCCAGCTCCCGCAATTAGTGCTATTTTCAATTAGTACTTAATGCATAGAGAATACAATGTTAGCAACAGTATTACCCTCCAAAGAATTTAGATTCTCAGGAACTTCCTGGTTTACTTCAAGTTTCCTCAAAGAGAGATTTTCTTGATCACTAAAGTCGGTGATAACATTCTGAATGACAGCAAGAGATCTGACCTTATGGAAGTATGATGCCCTTAGGCTTTCAAGTGGATGCTATGAAAGCATCATTCTATTTCCCTTTACATCGAGGATCATTCATATCTACTATAAGACCCCAGAATTTTCTCTAGATCTTCTATTCCTGACCACTGTTCTAGCAGGTGGCCACTATCAGGTCCTCAGATTAGCTTCATATCCTGCAGTTGGAGACTTCTCTCACCTCCCTGTGTACAGCACTCTCTTCATACCACAGTTTCTTAGAGCTCTTCTATTTCAAGGTCAGCTTTTCAAGAAAATTGTCTGTGATTCCTTCTAGCATGGAGTGTGGGGTGTGGGTATGCTTCCATGCATACTCCCATTAAACTCTTTCTTTAACATGCATCAAATACACTAACATGGTTCACTTTGGAACCAAGAAATTATATTATATTCATAAATAAGTTATGTAACACTAACTAAACTAAATGTGTTCCATACTCACCAGTAAGAAAAACCAGAAATGAAGGTGCCATGAAAAGAGAAGGGGATTCAACTGAGTAGTTTGGGTCCATTGAGCTTATGATGGAAGTGCTTCTGTGGTGTGAGGAGACACTACTGTTTACCCTGTCATGTATTAATCCGCCCTTTCATTTAGCTGTGGCATGGAGTACCTCTTTTTAAGTATATGATTTTTAAGCATCATTGGTTCCTCCACATAAGCCTACTTGCAATTTTTTCCTTGTGCTCAGTGAAGGAAGAAATGGACCCACAATCTCTAGGAAAATTGGTCTTATTGAATTAACTGGGGAAAACTGTAAGAAGCTCAGGGTATGACCATCCTGTAAAATGTTTTGGAGTAACGGCTTGTGTGGCTTTTGTACTTCATTATTTCATACCCTAAATGGACAAAAATATGCAACTTTCTTTATTTGTGTTTAATATGTGTACCCCCTGTTGGAAGCAGGAGATATATGTCTGACAATTTTACCACTATAGCTAATGCTTATCAAAAAGCCTTGACCACAATAAAGCTTAATGAATAATATTTGTTAAAGGAAATTGTCATTATAGCATTTACAAAATCATCCAGTTTGACAGAGATACAAAGTTCATACCTGAAGACTGATGTAAGAGATAGGGATAAATTCAGATATTTTTATTTGTTTTCAAGACAAGGTTTCTCAGTTTAGCTTTGAAGCCTGTCCTGGGACTTGCTCTATAGACTAAGCTGGCCTCGAACTCACAGAGATCTGCCTGCTTCTGCCTCCCGACTGTAGGATTAAAGTCATGCTCCACTACCGCCTGGCAATTTCAGGTCTTTTGAAACATCAATATTGAGATAGTTTATGTCTCTTTCAGAATCTAAATTGAAATGGCAGAAAGCCGAGAGTGGGTGGGGCAGGACAGAGTTCAGTGTCATAGAATGAAGACCTACACATACAAGGCAACAATTCTTCCCTCCATTTCTGGGCCAGACTTTAACAAATAACTGACACCGCCCTTATTATTTTAGGTCGAATGAGCCGGACTCGATTTATCATTATGCCAACCCAAGGAGAAGGACGGCAATGCCCCACAGAGCTCACCCAGCAGAAACCCTGCCCAGTGATGCCCTGCTATAGCTGGGTCCTTGGCAACTGGTCTGCATGTAAATTGGAGGTAGGTCATGCAATGACAATTAGAGAATGCTTCTCAGTATGTACAAAACACTTGTCTCATCAAATACAGTGACTGAATACATTATACAGCACCAGGTTCTGGGCACATGTTATTTTTAACAAAATGGAGAACATGGGAAAATGCAAGCAAGTGTTTGTTTCACACAGAGTTGCACTGTTAAGAGAGTAAACAGCCGTTCATTAGTTACTGGTTATAACAAGCTGGGTCACGGAACTGCCGATCTCTTTGGCATCCTCAAGAATTCTATGCTTTTTGTTTCCTTTTCTCAGTGGGAATATCAAAGAATTGTTTAATTAAGCAAAACCCTGACTCTAGAAATGCACAGCTTGCTTTGGATTGTGTTTCTTAAAAGTTAACTTTGGCTTTGACAATGCCTTGCTTATAGGCAGAAGATGAAAAGTGGATGAAAGAAATATTCTAACATTATTACATGAGCCAAGGCTACTACCCTTTCCTTAATAATTACTTTTTTATTGGCCTGAAATACAAATGCCCAGTGACATTATTGTATGTCACAGACCCTGAGCTTGTGCTTGATCAGCAAAGATCTTCTACTGCTTGTTCTGAATTAAGAAAAGGTGCATTGATTTTCTTTATTTCTGTCTTTTAGTAGTTTATCCTTCAGTCCATATTCAGAAGCATATTTAATTAGACAGCAATGACTTTGATCACACATTAAGAAGTCTTCGGGGTATTCTTATAAAGATGTTTAGTGCCCCTGTCAGGATGACTGTGTTGAGCAATTTTGTAATACTGCAGAAATTAAATACCCGTGTATTTTTATAGGTCTCAGAGGAACAAAATTATGTGGCACATTTTTGCAGTATTCCTTTTGGTTGTTGTTTTGTGGAGATAAGGCAGTCATGCTGATTGATGAATTCAGAAATAACCTAACAGCTCTAAGTACCCGAACCTTGTCTACTGTCTAAAGATCTCTCTGAAGTCTTTGACAATGTGAGGTGCTACTGAAATGACTGAAATCAAGAAAAACGAACAAAATAGTTCCCCTTATAATTATGACAAGTTTGAAAGAATAAATAAGGAGCCTAAAGAGCCATTACATTTTGGGCAAGGAAGAGGATAGCTAACAAACACAGAGGTGAAGGGTGAGGAGGGAGAGACTGAGAGAGAAAGAGGATGGTTACACTCCAATTCTTACCCAGCATTCAGTCCTCCTCTGCCTGTTCACCTTCCCTTTGCCTTCTCAGTTGTCAGTAGCCTTTTTGTCTTTGACAGACAAGTCCAGCAACTTGTCTGCTGGATCACATTGGGCAAAAGCCCAATGGAATCTGTTGCTGTCATATTGAGCATCTGCCGGAACCATAGGGACAAAGATGGGCAGTGACCATGGCCTATGGTGGCACTAGGTGGGTGGAGGGTGGTGGCTTCCCTGATGAGGCACTATTTTAGAGGCCTCAGGAACCCAGGGGGACAAAAATTGTCTTTTACTCAGGAAACAACAAAACTGCTTCAAATTCATGTCCTCAGGAAGAGACTTGTTCTACTCGAATCTCTCAAAAATAGTCTGTAGTTCGCATTTGTGCTTGGGTACTTACCTACACAAGGGCAGTCAATGATCCTGCCCATGAATTTGAAGTGGATTTGAAGCTGGTTAAAGACACAGAAACCATAAACTCTTAGCTGCCATATTCCTCCACCTGGTGGATAAAGTCAGCCACTTGCTCAAAAGAAAAGACATAAATAAAGCAGAAGAACAAAAGAACGGGAACTGTGACAATACCTGGGCTAACTTTCCTGAGTTCCAAATGCATCTGATTTTCTTGAAGCCTGCTAATTCTTTGTGAAATAAGTACCCAGGATCTTTTCTTTTTTCTTAAATATATAGCTAAGTTTTGTGCATTGCTGGTCAAAATACCTGCAGGCCTTTCACACAAAGGAATACCAGCTCTCCCCAATGCTTCTCTGCTATTCCTGTCTGCTCAGGTTCTAACCCACCAGATGCCTGCTGATGATGGTGGCAACAGCATGTCAGTGGCTGCTTGACTTCAGCAAGTGTCAGGCAATAATGATGGAGGCTTGAAAATGGCACTGAGAGTTTGATAAGTCTGCCTCTAATTTTCATAAAAAGACATTAACAAAAAAAAAGATGGGTTCACCTTCAGAAACCCTGCTAGCCATACCCAAGTTCCTTAGCCACTCATGTCTATTCATGAAGAATTGAGATTCTGGAATCTAACATCTTAAATGTAACCCACAGTTATGGAAAGTTTTAGCAGTGCACTTCTTCCCCAGTTATCTAAACACTCTAAGCTTCATTTTCTTACCTAGCTTATGAGAGTAGCAATAGATTGACTCCTCGATGCCCTCCCTATCACTTTCAACTCCTTCATAAGTGCCAGTTCTTCATAGAAAATGCTATTGTATTTGCAAATAACCTACATTATTCATTTGCCTCTATACCTTAGTATTTCTTCATTAATTATAGTGCTAATTATTTGGATGTAAGTGCTATGCAAACATTTGTCCTATTACCTGCCGTAAGGACTAATGACAAGGAGGAAAAGCTATGCATGTTTCCTCTGAAAATATGTTTTTTACAAAAATTTTAGTCTTCAATTTGTCAGATCTGAAATTGGAGAACATTGATTCTTGCACAGTACCTCACATACACTAAGAGCTCAATGAATTGTATTTGCTACCAAACAGGTGGCCGAAACTATGGTTATGTTTATTAGTGTCATCTGTCTGTTCACATATGGTAGAGGGGAAAATTCAGTGTAAATGAAACCCCACTAAAAATCAAGGCAGTGAGGGTAGATGAGAGACTGCTCTCTGCTTGCCACCTTGCTCTAAGAAGGTGGGTCTGCCTTCAGACTGTAGTGCATACATTCTGTATAAGGGCGTGCTTGATTCATGAATTGAGTTGTCAGTTTGATGCTGATTTCTCTTCATGTGGGCACTGTCCTCAAAAGTACAGCAGATTAAGGATGAATGTGGGCTGATCCCAGGATACACAGTAGGAGCCTATCACTGTTTGTCTTGGTTTTTAAGATGATCCCCCAGTGCAGGCTCATTTTCTGCTCTGCTACACAAGCTGCCTGATGGGATGTCAAAAGAAACTCATCGATTCATCCCATCGGTTGAAGGTATCTGGACTTTCAAAGTCCACATCTGCTACAGCATCTTTACGCTTGTCTCCAAATACACAAAGTCCTCATACTCATCAGCAAAAATGCACAGAGGAAAGTCAGCAAATCCATCATCCGGATACTAAGTTATGAAGGAGCACTCCCTACCAGAAAGAAATTTCAGTTCATTCTTGTTATTTTCCATTTTAGGCAGTGAATTTTTATTAGAACATTTGTTTTGAATGCTATCCTGTGGGTTGATTTTAAACTTCTCTCCCAAGATGCATTTAGGCCTAAAATTATGGTACTTTTCATAAATAAATAATAGTCATAGAGTGATCCAGCCTCTGCTGTGGTGTGCTTGGGTTCTTCATAACTCTTATGTTGAAGACTGGCCAGTAATATAAGAGAAGAATGGCATCAATAGGAGGGGGTTGGAAGGTTGTACCCTCGTGATGAAAGGCCCTAGGCACCTGCCCTTTTGCCCCTGAGGACAAGCAGAAGTCCTGTGTATAAGGAGCCACCTTCTGGCACTGTCGTGTTGAACATCTCAGAATCCCTTGAGGAGTGCATATCCATCACTTATAAATTACTCAGCATAAGGTATTTTATGATAGTAGCATGAATAACCTGACTCTCCTAAATCAACCAACTATAATTATTTCTATTAAGGTTTTTTTTCTAAGAAAGTGTGTGGTGTTTCCAGTTTGTGTACTGCCTCAAATTCTTCATGCTTTAAACTTCTACAATTTGGATTTACCCAAACCAGACATTTCATTTTTGTTAGCTGAACTCTTCATTTTTTTTGTTTTCTTTGTGCATGACAGATACATTCCAAGGTCTCCAGAGGATTCATGAAATCAGATAATATTGAACCTAATATTTATCATAATTTTCTTATACAACAATACCTGTGATAAGTTTATTTCTAAGTTGGACACACTGAAATAATGCTAACCTAAAATGAATTAGAGCAAGTACTACAATATACACTCAAAAGATACCCGCATCATTTCCTTGTGCTTTAGATCTGTTGTTAAATAAATAAAGTTCACTTGAACTCAGGCACTGTTATATCACAATATTTGATTTGATGACCAGGATGGCTGCCATGTGACTGACAGATGGGCACCATGAAGGGTCTGAACCTGTTCATAAACAGGTGATTTACATTCTGCGTGGCATAGGATGGGATGGAAACATTCCCTCATGCTCTTGAGAATGGCATGCAGTTAAACACCTAAGTTGTTTTTTTTCTGGAATTTCCTATTTGATAATTTTTATATCACAGTTAACTATGGCTCACTGAAACCTCACTACTGAATATCCTCAGTCTTGCCTTGTCTTGTGTAGAGAGCCCCCAAGCTGGTTGTCTGTGCCATCTTGCTTCTCTAACAGCAACCTGTGAGCTCCCACATGCCCAGAAGCCTGTGCCTTCATACTTGGCTAGTGCCAGCTGGCTTATGAGTGGCTAGAACACCTTCTCCACGCTCAGGATCACTATCTTGACTACTTTAATGTTTGTCTCTTTTTGCACTCCTGATTCTTCCCAAGAGCTGCAGCATCTCTGAGATCCAGACAGTTTAGTATCTATCCTCTGTAGACAGGATAGAAAGAGAAGAAACCTGTGTTTCTAGTGTAGAGAGTTGTCAGACTGTCATGAAGAGACAGTCTCAATCTCTCTGTGTGTCTATGTCTCACTGACTCTGTCTGTCTCTCTGTGTCTCTCTCTCTCCCTCCCCCTCCCTCCTCCTCTCTCTTCCCACAGAGAGGCACAGAGTAGCCACAATAGCAAAAGGAAATAGAAAACTAGCTCTCTACCAACTTTTGTACTTAGTTGACACAAACTCAACTTGGTTATATGGGAAAACAGATAACAGAATGAATGCTGATTAGTGAGAATAGAATTGAAATAGTTTCTGGCATTATAAATGCCTTTCCCACCCTGTCCTTTGTCCTTAGTGGGTAGTACTGAGACATGGAATGGAACATCTAGAAGACATTGTGAGCAACCAAGACATATTTGCAGTTGTTTGTGGCACTGAGTCCAGTGTGTAACACCCCACCCTGGCTTTGCCTCCCTTCCTCTTTTACTTCAGTTCTGTCTGATCCTCCCCATTGACATCCTGGCTCAGCACCTCCTCAACATCAAAGCTTTGCCTCCAGCTCTGCTTCCTAGGTATATGAGAGGAAATGTAGCTGTCAGCTGAAGTCATGCAAATTTCCAAAGGACTTCTTTTGGAAATACAGCAAACACCTAATGAAAGTCCTGGTGAAGATACCCATCTCATGAGGAGCTACCAAAACCTTAGAGTAGGAAAATTTCCATCAGAAGATGATTGAGCTCAATACCCCCCCAAACCTTTTAATTCTACATTCCTGTGTCTCTGAGGCACTGTATGAATTTCCCTGGCTGTCCAGCTTCCTGAGCGACACTAGCATCAAACATCCACAGTGTTACTCAGTACCATAGCCAAACTGGGAAAATCACTTCAAACAGCAACAGAGAAAAATCAGAGTTTTATTTGAATCCTAACCTGATCCATGTGAGAAAGGACCAAATTCTGCAAAGGAAAAAATTAGGACAATAAAAGAAAAATTCATGCCCCGGGGCTGTGCATGTTCTCTGGGAGGTGATTGTAGAACAGACTATGTTCTCACATACATGGAGACAAATTATGCAGTTTTTCTCATTTTGTCAATTCTGCCCAAGTCCCAGAATAAATGATCTGAATCTGGGGGCATAAATTCTGAAGGATGTGCCTGCATTTCTATGTGACTTTCCCTGTCAACCCCAGAAGTTCGGCTATGCTTTATTGTCAACCATTGAGAGGGCATTCCAAAGAGAAGGAAGCTGCTCTGTGTTGTTGAGGTTTCCTTGGGGACCAAAGCTCTGAGATTCTATCTGGCTAATTCTGAGGGCATCCTTTCTTCTCTCAGGGTGGAGATTGTGGGGAAGGAGTGCAGGTGCGCAGCTTTTCCTGTGTAGTCCACAATGGCTCACTATCCCACACAGCTGTCCATGTTGGGGATGCCCTGTGTGGAGAAGTACCTTTCCAAGAAGGAATCCTGAAGCAGCTGTGCTCCGTGCCCTGCCCAGGTGTGTAGTTCTCCTAATAAACAGTGCCCCGCATGTGATCTTGTTGATTTTTTATTTACACCATTTTTCCCTCAAAAAGCTCTATCATATCAATATTGAATTATTTATTTGATTTAATGCATTTGAATTGTGGGTTTGGCAACATTTTGAAAGATACAAAGTAAGAAAAAGAGTACTGGCTTTGGAAACAAAAACTAAGGTAGAATCTCATCTCCTTTCACTGGCCTCTAGATAATAGGTGGGTCGAGCAATGTTTCCATATTGCCCAACATTCAGAATGCTGACCGCATGTTGGAACTGATGATGCTGAGAGACAGCCTAGCAAGAGTGAGGCAAGAAGCTTGTCAGCTCACTGTTAACAACCAGGTTCTGTGTAGATGTAACAGTTATCATTGGAAACAGAAAATGATTATTTTATTTTAATACTAATAATGCAATTAGCTTGCATTGAATAATTTTAAGTTTTGCAATATTTCTTTACAATACAGTATGTGTATACAAATGGTCATTTACATTTTACATATGCACATATATTTAAATGTGCATCATTCATATGTGAATGTTTGTATTGAAGTTATGTGCCATATGTATACTCCATATGTTTACATTTACAAATAAATATGACTATGAATAGTATACTTGAGCAAATATTCTTTAGGTAAAACTATCTCATTTCAATGGCCTACTTGTTATTTTTCCATGGTTTCTATGCACGTACATTTTGCTGATCTTTGGAAACCGAGTCATTATAATCTCCCTTTTAATTCTTTCTATTTTTCTTCTATTGAAAATATATTTTTTTCAGACACTACATTCTGATTGTGGTTTTTCCCTCCACTAGTCCCACCTAGGTTTTTCCCCACCTACCTTCTAGCAGCCACATTTTACTCTAGTCATGGCTACTATGACTTGAAACAGAGTTATAGCAATCTAATTTTTGCACTCTTTTGCTAACCTAGATTAAGCCATACATTATTTCACCAATAATAGTACTTTCAGACTGAAAGTCTGTCAATACTTGGACCTGCCCGTGTCCCTGTACATGCACCCCATGTCCCTTGTGTGTCCATCCCTGTCTCTGATATCTAGCACCTGTTTTCACCATGTTTCTCCTTCCCTGCACTATGTGACTATCCAGGAGACTGCCATATAACCCCATGGTCAGAATGGAGCAAGTGTGAGTTAACCTGCATCGATGGGAGAAGCTTGGAGACCACGGGCCGCCAATCCAGGTCAAGGACATTCATAGTTCAGTCTTTTGAGAATCAAGACAGCTGCCCCCAACAGGTTCTAGAAACACGACCTTGTGCAGGTACCGAGGTCATTTTTCAGCGCTTTCCATTTGGACGCATTGATGTTTATTGTGTTGGTAAGAGAGATGTAATAGAATTACAGTTTTCATATCCACTTGCAGGTGGCAAATGTTATCACTACACATGGAAAGCGAGTCTTTGGAACAATAACGAACGGACTGTGTGGTGCCAGCGTTCAGATGGCCTTAATGTCACAGGTATTCCTTTCTAAGATTCACACGGAGCCTTCAGAAAGGTCTCACAGTGTGCTTCTGTTGAGGAACTCGCTTACCAATTAAAGCAAGGTTGAAGAGCAGGTGCTTCAGACGTTCTTCCTGGGAGGTTTTCATTAGACCTCACTCCCATTTTTGAAATCAACAATTCTATGTGAAGATTCAGAAAGTATATAGAAGCCAAACAGATCAGTTGAAACACAATAAAATAGACCTAGATTCATGATCTCAGATAAACCTGAAAAAGATGTAGATTGTTTAAAACATCGGTCCCTAAAGTGTTGAAGCATGTACCACCTCAGTGGACACAGAGAGGACTCCACTCGGCATCAGTTCCAGACCCTCAGGCTCCACCCTACTCTCCTCTGCAGTTCAAATTAGCACAGTTGATAAACATACAATTTTCTAATTGAAATGTTTTGGCATTAATGATGCAAAGAAAAAAATCTAGATGCTATGGATGCTCATGTTTACCCTCTGCAGGCTCATTTTGAATGTTTTCCTGGTTAGGGCAATTACTTTATGCCTAAAAATAGTCTGAAGGAAAGATTCCTTATTCTTAAAAGAGGGTACAATTTGATTGTACAAATGGTTTTCTCAATAATTTTAAAGATTTTTTGATGTCTTCTTGTCAAAGCAAATTAAATCGACATTGATTTTACTTTAGTACTGCAACTGACAAACAGCTTATGCAAGACTGGGAGGAAGTGCACAACAGCAGGAGAATCACAGCCCCTCCTTTATCCTGTTTACATGGCTTTACATTATTGGTATTAATCCATAGCTTAATCCATACAGTAATTTATTTTGAGCTACTTTTTCCATTTTTGTAAGCTGATAAAACTAAATACTCTATAAACATGCCTAGCCAGGAACCAAAAAAGGCCTCCTACTCCACAGTGGCCAGAAGCTTACACACTGGTGAGCACTGTGTTGGCACAGTGGACCTTCTCGATGCATGGTGTGAGACCATCAGACAAGTGAGCTGGGGCCATTGGCATCACCTGATAAATACAACTAGAGCCTGACTTTGTTCTTAAAGCTTAAAAGCCATATCCTGTCATCAGTGTGTCTTGGAGTAGTCCACTCTGGAGACCCCCAGTTTGAAGACTGAATGTCCTGTCCCCAGACAGGATGATGAAATAGACAGGTGCTGTGTGGTCATCGCCACTGACACCCACACAACTATTCAATTCCAGGCAATACCTCTGGACTGCTGTGGGCTTTGTGTTTTCCTTTGGTTTTAGCTTTGGTGTCTGTTACTTGTCTTATTTTTCTTTTTGAACAAAGTGACAATGTAGCAGCTTCATTCCCAGGAAATTTCTAAGTCTGACTCTTCCTCTATAGCCTTGAGCCTGAAGCCTTTTTGCTAGCTGCCGCATCATAAAGTGTAATTGGTTGACAATTATGGCACTGCAAAGACCAGAGCCTATAAATTCGACTGACCTCATATGAACACAGTTTAAACACTGCCCTTAAGTGCATCCAACTTCTCAATCTAGTTATCTCAAAACTTATTTCATGTCTATTCTCGCTTTGAACCAGTACAGTACATCGGTGGGTTTTAGAAACACCTCACTACTTCCTTTGACTCCCATATTTAAGCAGCCCTGCGTAAGTGATTACATCTCTGCAAGTGCTGTGTTGAGCATCAGATTGTCCATCCTAGACTTTATGAATTTGCCTCTACATACAGTTAAAGGGGAGGTCCGTATGTGACCGTGTATGTTTGTTAGGCCTGGTTCATATAAAATCCTTGACACAGTGCTTACCAATGTGACGAATGGATCAACAGTGACATTCTTTTACTTGGTTTTCTGAATCAGACTAGTTTGGGCCTCACTGGGCCACCCAGGAACTGGAGAAATATATACATGGAATGAGTCTCTAAGCAGCTGTGTTTGCTGCTGTTGAAACTAATAGAGATTTCATCAATTCTTGTGCTGATCTGGGTGCCCACAGGCTTTGCCCTCAATTATAGACACATAATAGACTCTTGATGCCAATGAACATAGAAAAAGTCCGTAAACGTCTCATTTTAAACACATTCTGGAGTGATTAATAAGCTAGAGTTGTAGCATATGACTGACATATACATTTAAGCCATGGTAAAATAATAATGATGTTAACAATGATAACTATGTCCCCAGTATGAGAGGGGAATAGCAAACTTTTAAATATGATTATCATAGACAAATCTGCAAATAAGTGATATTTCCTTTGTAG